TCCTCGTGGTGGGACTCTGGGGCTTGGAGACTAGATTTCATTCAGGCCCTGGAAGAGGACCTGGCAGGACAAGGCAGGTCCTGTGCTAGAGAGCTGGGAGTTCTACTCAGATCAGTGGGGCAAGGCTCAGGCACAGGGAATAAGATGAGAAGGTGATGGGCTGATGTCATGGATTGAATTATGTCCCCCAAAAATATGTGTATCAATTTGGCTAGGCCATGATTCCCAGTATTGTGTGACTGTCCACCATTTTGTCATCTGATGTGATTTTCCTATGAGTTGTAAATCCTACCTCTATGATGTTAATGAGGTGGGATATGTTAATGCGGCGGGACTCAGTCTACAAGATTGGATTGTGTCTTGAGCCAATCTCTTCTGAGATATAAAAGAAAGAAGTGAGCAGAGAGACAGGGGACTTCATACCACCAAGAAAGCGGTGCCAGGAACAGAGTGCATCCTTTGGATCCGGGGTTCCAGAGCGGAGAACCTCCTAGTCCAGGGGAAGATGGATAAGGACTTTTCTCCAGAGCCGGCAGAGAAAGCCTTCATCTAGAGATGATGCCCTGAATTTGGACTTCTAGCCTACTAGACTGTGAGAGAATAAACTTCTGTTTGTTAAATCTGTCCACTTGTGCTGTTTCTGTTACAGCAGCACTAGATGACTAAGACAGCTGAGGAGGGCAAATCTTTTCTCTCATTAAGGTTGTTACTTGTCGCAGCGGCGACGGTAATCGGGACGGCGAAGACAGTAACCAACTGCACAACTCTTACAGAGAAGTGGGGCCAGGAGGGTCACTCCGAGGAGTCGACGCCCACTTCAGTCCCAGGAGTTTATTTTATAGTCAATACAGCAATCAATAAGGCAATTAACAAAACAATGGGCTTTGAGTACGGGCAAGGAAGAAGGAATTCAGGTAAACAAGTCAATCAGTAAAGGGACAATAGGATTTGGGAGAACACATCCAGACAAGTCTCGACATGTTGGAGACAAGTCTCAACATGCTGTGCAGCATAGAGGCCTGTGGGGGCTGCAGTTGTCAATAGTACAGCCATGTTTAAATGGCATATATCCCCACAGTTACTATTGTTAGTTGCCATCCAGTAGGCTCCAACTCATGGCAACCTTACATATAACACAACAAAACATTGCCTAGTCCTGTACCATCTTCATGATCACTGGTATGTTTGAGCCCATTGTTGAGGCTGTTGTGTCAATCCATCTCACTGAGGATTTCTCTCGTTTCCACTGACCCTCTACTTTACCAACCATGATGTCCTTTTCTAGCAATTGGTCTTTCCTGATGACATGTCCAAAGTAAGCAAGCCAGAGTCTTGCCATCCTTACTTGTAAGGAGCATTCTGGTTGTGTTTCTTCTAAGACTGATTTGTTTGTTCTTCTGAGAGCCCCCAGTATATTCAGTATTCTTTGTCAACACCACGGTTTGAATGTATCAATTCTTCTTCTGTCTTCCTTTTTCGTTGTCCAGCTTTAGCGTGCGTATGCAGTAACTGAAAAAACCATAGCTTGGGTCAGGCATACTTTGTTGTCATGTGTATGGAGCAGTGGGTAAGGAGGAGGTATTTAACCCAAGTGAATATGCTTTTCTCTGTTTAATATCAAGGGGTTCTGTCTTAGTCATCTAGTGCTACTGTAACAGCAATACCACAAGGGGATGGCTTTAACAAACAGAAGTTTATTCTCTCACAGTCTAGTAGGCTAGAAGTCCAAATTCAGGGCATCAGCTCCAGGGGAAGGCTTTCTATGTCATCTCTGGAGGAAGGTCCTTGTCATCAATCTTCCCCTGAACTAGGAGCTTCTCCACACAGGAACCCTGGATCCAAAGGACACGCTCTGCTCCCAGCGCTGCTTTCTTAGTGGTATGAGGTCCCCTGTCTCTCCGCTCGATTCTCTCTTTTGTATCTCAAAAGAGATTGGCTCAAGACACAAACCAATCTTGTAGATTGAACCCTGCCTCATTAACATAACTGCTGCCTATCCAATCTCATTAACATCATAGAGGTAAGATTTACAACACATAGGAAAATCACATCAGATGAAAAAATGGTGGATAATCACACAATACTGGGAATCATGGCCTAACCAAATTGATACACATATTTTTTGGGGAACACAGTTCAATCCATGACAGTTCTTTCGTAAGATTTTGATTGAAAACTCTGCAGCAAAAAGAAAGCTTGACAGTGACTTTGACAATGAAAATGACCACTACAATTTCTATTCCTCTTTGGAGAGTTGGACAGTAGAAAAAACAAGTGCCTAGAGTTCAAAAGCATGACAATGGCACCAACAACCCATCAGCACAGGGAAAATTCTCCACAAACAGGGACAGAACAATACCTAGAAGGAGAAAAAAAAAAAAAAAAGGCCTCCAGTGAGGGATTTCATAGAGGCTATGGCATTTTAGACTCTCAAAAATTTGCAGTAGTTGTATCTCCATTGTCATATCTATATGCCCTTTGGGAAATCAGTACAATTTATTGTGTTTTTTCAGAGCCCATTTTATATATTTTGGAGTTGAGGGGATGTAATAAAGGAATAGAAACCCATTCAAGCTAGCTCACCTGATAGAGGAGTGTGTGATATTTTTAGAACCCAAGGATAGAAAATGTTGAGCACCCTAGTGGAGCAGATGGCCAGAAGCCAAGGTTGTTCGCTTTGTCTTGCAAGGACTTCTGACGTTTCTCAGGGGCCTAGTGGTCTCCCTCATCCTTGCTTCCCTCTGTTTCTCTCCTGCCTCTCTCTCTCTGTCCCTTCCTTCTACTTGCCCACCTCTCAGCATGACTGGCAGGCCACTTATGTGACACTTGGACTACATTCTCTGTGTGCCTTGGGTAAATTTTTTTTTTTTTAGATCTTTTTTTTTCCTTTTAATTGTTTTATTGTGGTAAATATATATATAAATATATATAAGCATTTACCAATTCAACATTGGGTTTAAATTTGTTGTTGTTATTAGGTGCTGCCAAGTCGATTTCAACTCATAGTAACCCCATATGACAGAGTAGAGCTGCCCCATAGAATTTTCTAGGCTGTAATCTTTATGGGGGAGCCCTGGTGGCACAGTGGTTAAGAGCTCGGCTGCTAACCAAAAAGTCGATGGTTTGAATCCAACAGCTGATCGTTGGAAACCCTATGGGGCAGCTCTACTCTGTCCTATAGGGTCGCTATGAGTCGGAATCGTCTGGACGGCAATGGGTTTGGTTTTTGGTTTTGGTAATTTTTATGGGAGCAGATCGCCAGGTCTTTCTCCCATGGAGCCAATGGGTGGGTTCAAACCACCAACCTTTGGGTTAGCAGTTGAGTGCTTAACCATTGCACTACCAGGGCTCCTTCAATTCAACATTTTTTACATGCACAATTCAGTGACATTGGTTATTTTATCATGTTGTCCAGCCATGACCACCAGCAGTTTCCAAATTATTCCACCACCTTTAACAGAAACTCAGTGCAGCCTAAGGGAAGCCTCCCCCTTTCCTCACCCCTCCAGCCCCTGGTAACCACCCATGAACTTTGGTCTCTATGTATTTGCCTATTTCCTATAAGTGAGACCATAGAACAATACAATATTTGTCCTTTTGCGACTGACTTATTTCACACAGCATGATGTTTTCAATATTCATCCATGTTGCAGCATATATCAAGATTTTATTTTTCTTTATGGCTGAGGAATATTCCGTTGAATGGATATACCACATTTTGTTTATACATTCATCTGATGATGGACATTTGGGTCAGATTTTTGAGAGAGACTCTGATGGACACAGCACAGTCTATGGACCGGTTTTCCACGGTGCAGTTGATACCCTGGGGTCCAATCAACTTTGATGGGGGAGGAGGTGATATGACAGGTCCTGAGGTTAGAGCAAGGTAGCAAGGGCCATGGTGTGGCTGAACACCTAGGATGAGGTGTAAGTGGGGAGGCAATGGTTGGTATCTCTGCCATGAATGTTCATGTAAAAACAACAACAATACTGTAATTTGGGGGTTCCCCAGGCTGCCAAACAGCGTGCCATTCATTACTGAGCTGCTTGAGAAGGTTTTATGAAGCCTCTGTGCATGCCTTACCCATTTGGTGGTCACAGAGATCTTAGTCATCTTCTGGATATGCGGTCTTTCAATGTCTTAAACACAGAAACAATATTATCACCAGCTTCCTGTAAACGATCCAGTTGGCTGGTCAAATGACATTGGCCAAAGAAGAAACCTGAGAACACATTCGTGTGGTGTCGTAGTGGTTGACGGAGTGGGTTCTGGAGTTGTCCTCCTCCTGAATTCAAATTCTGGTCCCATTCTGTAATGACCATATGGCCTTGGGCAAGTTATCTAAACTCTCTAAGGCTCAGTTTCCCCATTTGTGAAAAGTACATAATAAAACCATCTGGTGGAAAAGAAAATATACCCCAGTTAGGGAGGAATGTACTCTGAGAACAGTTTTGACCCTAGAAAGTACTATGTAAATGTTAGTCATGGTTGCCATTATTGTTAGTCACCCTTTCAAATCTTTGTGCCCCTTGGGCTCAACTCTCTGAGTCAATGACTTCTACTTCTTTGACTTCCCTGCATTCCTCATGCTCTTGCTCGGAATACTTTCCCAGAACTTTGCATGTACTAATTGGTAACAAGTGCTTGGTGGTTAATCGATTGACTTTCAGAATGTTGTGCTTTAAGCTCTGAATTGAAAATGTTGTCACAGTTAAAGATGGAAAAGGATACATGAGCAGAAAAAACCTGACCTGATTTTGAGCAATTTGCCGAGTACTCAGAGTATCTCTTCCAAATCTTCCTTTTGTAAGACCCCAGATGGTTTCTCCAGCTCCTTTGATCCCTACCAATACTATCTAAAATTGTCATCCTTTATATGGAAGCACAGACAATCTGTTCCACGAGACTGACAGCAAGATCCCATGCCAAGAGAGCTGGAAAACCATGCAAGCAGCTTTCACACAGATTCACTCTTCCTTGTTTTTTTCTTCTCCAGGAGCCCAGATAGCATGAAGACCATGAACTTGTCTTCTGAGCACTGCAACATCTCGGACTGGCTCAGGCTAGAAGCAACGGTGAAGGCCTCTATATATGTGGTTGCTTTCTCCTTTGCCACATTCATCACTATCATTGTTATCGCGATAGTGTCACAGAATTTGAAACTGAGGAAAGAGATCCGGTACATTCTCCTTTGTCACCATCTCCTGTGCGTCTCCTCCTACTGTGGCCTGGGAATTGTTTTCCAAGGAATGCGGGCACTGCTGGCCAACAGCCCACTGCTGATATGCTGGGTGGTGTTTGGGGCACAGCTGAGTGTTGGAGAAGGGATTCTCTTCACTCTGGCCTTGATGGCTGTCAACACTTACCTGGCAATTTGCTGGCCATTGCGATCTCTGTCCCTTGTCAGTTCAGTTAAGTACAGGATTCTGGCCGGGACTTGGACCACCATTATACTCAAGAATGTTTGCTTATTCCTCATGGAGGGCACTAGCCCCACTGCAGTTGCTGTTTTACAATCAGAGCCCCTTTGCCCTGTGATCTTGAATGGCACTCCTGCGAGAGTCATCGGCATCGTTCTCCTTTTCCTTCTTTTGTCTGTCATTCTTGTAAGTTACTCCCTGATTTACCAGGAAGGGAAACGGGCTGGCCATTTTAATAGATCAAATATCAAAGCAAGGAAAACGGTCTTTATTCATTTAGTGCAGATGGGCTTACATGTAGTACCCACCCTAGTATTCATAGGTTTGGGGAAGATGTGTGGGGTGTTTTTCTTTGCTTTAAATCTGGTGCTTTTTGGCATCTTTGCATTTGCCCAGTGTTTCAACCCTCTAATCTATGGGCTCCGGAATAGAGAGCTGCAAAGCAGATTACATCGTTGGATGTGCTGTCAGCTGTGATATGGTCACATGATAAACAGCAGAGGGCTAGTTTAAACAAATATCCAGCCATTTTGAATCAATAACTCTAGTCCAGATGGACACATCAGCTAAGATTGAGGACCTGCCTTTTACTCAACCTAAAAATGGTGCCTTGACTTGATTTTGAAAGCAATATAAGTCAAATTTATTTGTTTGGCGTACAAACTTCCTTCCTGCATATACTGAATTGGTCTCCGTGAAACCACTTTACATCTTTAATTCAAAACCCAGATCAGCATTCTTGGCAGCATGTCCTACTATGCTTGAGTAGTAAGGGAAGGCAAGTTAGGCAGCTTTTGAGAATGCATTTATACCCTTCTATCAATTAGGGTTAGGTTTGGCTGCATATAATAACAAAAACAGTAACAAAATAACAGTGACTTTAAAAGACAGAGATTAATTTTTTTTCTAAAATTAAAGAAATCCAGAGATAAACAATCCAGGCCTATGTGGCAGCTCTGTGGTCAACAGGCTAGTTCTTTTCTACTTTGCCATGATTAGTGTTCTACCTCATGATCCAAAATGGCTGTCAGTGCACCTGTCATCACATCCACACTCCAGCCAACCGAAAGGAGGAAGGGGAAAAGAAAGATCTGTACCCTCCTTCTAAAGATACTTTCTAGAAGTTACAGAAGACACTTTTGCTTACATCTACCTTAAGATGATCATCATAAAAGTGTACTGTATGAGAAATTAGGGGTGGAAAGGAGGAGTGTGCTGTCACAGTATAGGGAAAGCAGTTAGGGTCACATAACAATGTTTGTACAAATTTTTGTATGAGAGACTGACTTGAAACGTAAACTTTCACCTAAACTACAACAATAAACAAACAAACAAAAAAAGCTGTACTCCGCGTTTCCATATGATATACAAATAGAGTTAACTGTTGAGGATTCAGAAAACCCTAAGTGTGTTATATAAACATCTCTCAAAGAGAATGACCTCAATAAGGAGAACACTGAACTGATTTAAAGATGGGATTTGACTCATAATTTAAATCTAAGCAAGTCTGAGGCAACAACATGAAATAAATTCTTTCACTAAAGTTTATGTGTGATATTTCTTTACATGAAACATCCATTCCTGAATTAGTCGGGATTTAGTTTGAGAAACTGCGGCATTTTAAACATAAAGGATTTAATACAGGAACTTGATGCTCACAAAGTCATTGGAAGGGCTACAGGAGGGGAAATCAGGGGCCACCGCTGGAAGGATTGATTTTAAGAGGAAACTACTGTAGCTGTAATCAAGAGGTCAAGCACCTGTTGCCACCGCAGCTACTGCTGCCTCTTGGCACTCACGACTTGCTTGGTGAAAGAAAACAGCGACAGAAAGATGACCTCCGCCTCCCCTCTGTCTTGAAAGTCTCACATGATTGCCTCTAATTTGTGGGACATAACGGCATCCAGAACCCTAAGAGCAAAGGTGCCTGGGAAATGTAGTTCCTAGTTTCACAGACTCAGCTGTACAGGTGGTTGTTGTTAGGTGCCAAGGAATCGGTCCCGGCTCATAGCGACTCTATGTACAACAGAACAAAACACCGCCCTGTCCGATGTCATCCTCACAGTCATTGTTATGCTTGAGCCCATTGCTGCAGCCACTGTGTCAGTCTATCTCCTTGAGGGTCTTCTGCATTTTCACTGACCCTCTACTCTACCAGTCATGATGTCCTTCTCTAGGGACTGGTCCCTCCTGATAACGTGTCCAAAGTACATGAGACAAAGTCTCGCCATCCTTGCTCCTAATGAGCATTCTGGCTGTACTTCTTCCAAGACCAATTTCTTTGTTCTTCTGGCAGTTCTTCTGATAGTCCAACACCATAATTTGAAGGCATCGATTTTTCTTTGGTCTTCCTTACTCATTGCCCAGCTTTCACATACATATGAGGTGATTAAAAACACCATGGCTTGGGTCAGGCGCACCTTGGTCCATGGGCGTTGATTGTGGATCCAAGTAAAATGAAATCCTTGACAACTTCAGTCTTTTCTCTGTTTATCATGATGTTGCTTATTGGTCCAGTTGTGAGGATTTTTTTTTTTTTTTTTATGTTGAGGTGTAATCCATACTGAAGGCTGTGGTCTTTGATCTTCGTCAGTAAGTGCTTCAAATCTTGTTCACTTTCAGCAAACAAGGTTGTGTCATCTGCATACCTAAGGTTGTTAATGAGTCTTCCTCCAATCCTGATGCCCCGTTCTTCTTCATATAGTCCAGCTTCTCAGATTATTTGCTCAGCATACAGATTGAATAAATATGGTGAAGGATACCACCCTGATGCACACCTTTCTTGACTTTAAACCACGCAGTATCCCCTTGTTCTGTTCGAATGACTGCCTCTTGGTCTAAGTATAGGTTTCTTATGAGCACAATTAAGTGTTCTGGAATTTCCGTTCTTCACAATGCTATCCATATTTTGCTATAATCCACACAGTCCAATGCCTTTGCATAGTCAATAAAACACAGGTAAGCGTCTTTCTGGTATTCTCTACTTTCATTCATGATCCTTCTGACATCAGAAATGATATCCTTTGTTCCACGTCCTCTTCTGAATCTGGCTTGAATTTCTGGCAGTTCCCTATTGATAAACTGCTCCAACCACTTTTGAATGATCTTCAGCAAAATTTTAAGTGCACGTGATATTAATGATATTGTTTGATAATTTCCGCATTTTGTTGGATCACCTTTCTTTGCAACGGGTACAAATATGAATCTTTTCCAGTCAGTTGGCCAGGCAGCTGTCTTCTAAATTTCTTGGCATAGACAAGTGAGCATTTCCAGCTCTACATCTGTTTGTTGAAACATCTCAGTTGGTATTCGGTCAATTCCTGAAGCCTTGTCTTTCGCCAATGTTTTCAGTGCCACCTGGACCTCTTCCTTCAGTACCATTGGTTCTTGGTCATATGCTACCTCCTGAAATGATTGAATGTTGACCAATTGTTTTTGGTACAGTGGCTTTGTGTATTCCTTCCATCTTCTTTTGACACTTCCTGTGTTGTTTAGTATTTTGCCTGTAAAATCCTTCACCATTGCAACTCGAGGCTTGAATTTTTTCTTCAATTCTTTCAGCCTCAGAATTGCTAAGCTAATTCTTTCCCTTTGGTTTTCTAACGCCAGGTCTTTGCACATGTCATTATGATACTTTACTTTGTCTTCTTGAGTTGTCTTTCCAAATCTTCTGTTCAGCTCTTTTACTTCATCATTTCTTTCTTTAACTTTAGCTGCTCTACATTCAAGAGCAACTTTCAGAGTCTGTTCTGATATCCATTTTGGCCTTTTCTTTCTTTCTTGTCTTTTTATGACCTCTTACTTTCTTCATGTATGATGTCCTCGATGTCATTCCATAACTTGTCTGGTCTTCGGTCATTGGTGTTCAGTGCGTCAAATCTATTTTCGAGATGGTCTCTAAATTCAGGTGAGATATAGTCAAGGTCATACTTTGGCTCTCCTGCACTTGTTCTAATTTTCTTCAACTTCAGCTTGAACTTGCATATGAACAATTGATGATCTCTTCCACAGTCGGCCCCTGGCCTTGTTCTGTCTGATGAAGTTGAGCTTTTCCATCGTCTCTTTCCACAGATGTAATCAATTTGACTTTTGCATATTCCATCTGGCGAGGTCCACACATATAGTTGCTGTTCACGTTGTTGAGAAAAGGTATTAGCAATGAAGAAGTTATTGATCTTGCAAAATTCTATCTGGCGATCTCCAGCGTTGTTTCTATCACCAAGGCAGTATTTTCCAACTACATATCCTTCTTTCTTGTTTCCAACTTCACATTCCAGTCGTCAGTAATTATCAATTCATCTTGATTGTATGTTTCATCAATTTCAGACTGCAGAAGTTGGTAAAAGTCTTCAATTTCTTCATCTTTGGCCCTACTGGTTGGTGGGTAAATTTGAATAATAGTCATATTAACTGGTCTTCCTTGTAGGTGTATGGATATTAGCCTATCACTGACAGCACTGTACTTCAGGATAGATCTTGAAATTTTCTTTTTGACGATGAATGCAACGCCATTCCTCTTCAATTTGTCATTCCCGGCAGAGGAGACCATACGATTGTCTGATTCAAAATGGCTAATACCGGTCCATTTCAACTCACTGATGCCTAGGATTTGGATGTTTATGCATTTCATTTCACTTTGGATGATTTTCAGGTTTCCTAGATTCGTACTTTGTACATTCCACATTCCTAATATTAATGGATGTTTGCAGCTGTTTCTTCTCATTTTGAGTCATGCCACATCAGCAAATGAAGGTCCCGAATGCTTGACTCTATGTCAGTAAGATCAACTCTACTTTGAGAAGACATCTCTTCCCCAGTCACATTTTGAGTGCTTTCCAACCTGAGGGGCTCATTTTCCTACACTATATCAGACAATGTTCTGCTGCTATTCATAAGGTTTTCATGGGCTATTTTTTTCAGAAGTACATCACTAGGTCCTTCTTCCTAGTCTGGAAGCTCAGCTGAAACCTGACCAGCATGCATAGCCCTGCTGGTATTTGAAATACCAGTGGCATAGTTTCTAGCATCACAGCAAAATGCCAGCCACCAGAGCATGACACACCGACAGATGTGCAGGGATGAAATTCAAATTTCTGTGTCCATCAATCAAGGTTTCTTGGAACACACCCACATGTGCTCATTTACGTGGTTCACCAAAATGGCAGAGTTGAGAAGTTGCGACAGAGAACATATACCCAACAAAGCCTAAATTATTTACTATTTAGCCCTTTACAGAAAATATTTGCCAACCCCTGGCCTAGAGGACAATGAAGTGTGGCAAACATGAAATCTGATGACTTTCAATTGAAAAATGTTTCAGAAAAATTGGACTCTGAATAAATTTAAGGAACACCCTAACCAATTAATTTCCTTTACCAATTACATATATATGTTTATGTGCACAAAGGTGAAATAGGATAAAAATCTATGTCTAAGTAAGTTTAAAAGCGCTCTTTCAAGAATTATACAGTGCAGCTTCTAAGAAATAAAGCATTGTGGTCTAGTTTAATATGCAGCATTTTTTCCTTCCTTACCATCTATGCTGTCTTCAACTCAGTGAAATATGGTATCACGAAATATACAAAGTAAACAATTCTCTAGAAAAGCTTTTGAAATACTAATTATGATTAGCAGCATTTCTGAGTCAGTAGCTCTTTCTTGCATGTATTTCACCCCTGGAAGTTGGCAGAAAACATAACTGTTGGTATCGAGTTAGAGGAGAGGATTGAGGAGTCTTAAATCTAGGGCATTGTCTGGATTTCATTCAGCCTTAAAGGGTTTCTAGAGCATTAAGTGCAGCCCTGGTGGTGCAGCAGTTAAGAGCTTGGCTGCCAACCAAAAGGTCGGCAGTTCAAATCCACCAGCCGCTCCTTGGGAACCCTACGGGGCAGTTCTGCTCTGTTTTATAGGGTTGCTATGAATTGGAATTGACT